TTTTACTACTATTACTACTGGTTCAGTTCCAGTTACTGAATATGTTACTGTGACTCCTACTCCAGACATTCCAACTACAACCATCACTAGTGGTTCAGTACCTACTGGTTATTTTACCACTATTACTACTGGTTCAGTTCCTGTTACTGAATATGTTACCGTGACTCCTACTCCAAATATCCCAACTACTACTATTCCAGGTAGATTCCCAACAACATACTTGACTACCATCACCACCGGTTCAGTACCTCTTACTGAATACGTCGTTGTCACTCCAATTCCTTGGTCTAATTCTACCTCAGGAGTCCCTTCAAGCCCTGTTACTGACACAACTATGATTACTTCAACCGCTGTCACACCTTCAGGTCCAGTAACAACCACTGAAACTGCTACCACTGTTATCACCATTCCATGTGATGTTTGTGAAGGTGGTGTCTCAACCTCAACCAAAACAACTGTTACTACCAAGACTTTACCATGTGATCAATGTGAAGGTACTAATACCAATGGTGGAAGCCCTCAAGTTACTCCTCAATCAACTCCAACCAATGTTCCAGGTTCTGGTTCTGGCTCACCAGGTTCTGATAACTCTGGTTCTACTTCACCAAGTGCTTCTGCCCCTGTAAGTACTTTCGAAGTCTTAGAAGGTGGTGCTTCTTCAAAAGCTGTCACCTCTTTATTACTTGTTCTTTCAAGTTTCTTATGGTTTGCTTAAACCAATCTTTTTATACTTAGGATTTTTTGATTTCTTTTGCTCCCGTTATATTTTTCGAATTTGTGAGTTTTTGTTTACTTAATGTAAGAATTATCTAGTGCATACACTCTGTCTCTGTTGGTATCATAAACAAACATCTCTATCAAAAGAACAAAGTTTTGTTCGATTGACGCGAAACAGGGTGTTTTTTTGGTTCTAATTTTTATGCTCCGCACCCTTTCATTAAGCTTTTTGCGAATGCTGGGTGCAACTTTGTGAACAATTTCTTCAGGGTAATTTTTTGACTTTCAGTAATTAAGGGATTGGATAAAGCAAGTAACTATAGAAAATTTTGATTATCCATATTTCATGCACATTATTATATGTTATTATATTATCCTACTTTGACTATGAAATGTCCAAATCCGATAGGAAATTTGGGATAAAAGAGATCTTCAGGGATCCTTGGTACCGAAGCATCATTCATCAAATATCTTAAAATGTTTCAGCTCCCACAATAATCAATCAAGCTTGAAATCTACTCTCGATAATTTTGTGCACACGTGACGCGAATGAGCGAGTCTCACGTCCAGAATATTCAACGTATTATTCAAGTAAAACCTGCCTTTCGAAAGAACTTGCACATTTCAGTGCAGCTGAATAATCTTTTATTATCGTATCATAATTGCAACAAAAAATTATTGGAAATATAAGAAGTTCTATTAAGAAAGTTGTTGAAATATTTATAATACATGATATAATTATAGAACTAATAATGGAAAAATTATATAAAAAGAAGTCCGTACTTTTGTTGAGACATTTAATCAGATAGAATATCAAAATGATTTCGATAAATTTTTAACATTTATTTATTTTCTGTTGTACAGTTATTTTGATAGTTTATGAGAAGACATGAAAGTTGCAAAAAATAGAAGAAAAAGAATTTTAAAAAATTGTGCGAATAATGTGGGACAGTTGGAAATACAGCAGCAGTTAACAGAGATGGATAAGAGGTAAATAGTTCTATTGATGTTGAAATTTATAAAGATTCATGACATAATTTACAAAATAAATCCATTACTAAAATTAAACAATTTAACGTAGTAGTAAATATATATGGTCACAGTAATACAGTAGAAAGACTCGACATACTCAATTTGATTTCGAAAAAACTTTAAAATTAACATCATGTTCAAACTGAGAAATAAAATAATAATTAAATACTCATTTTATGTTTAAGTGATAAGAAAGTAAAGAATAAATACTCACCATGACTATCGCGTTGTCAAAGAAATTTAATTTCTCACGTGAGAAATTCTCACATAATTTTGCAACCACAAAAGACTTTGAGAAGATAACGAAAAAGTAAACTCAGAAGAAGTCACGCGCACCAAGTCACGAGGTAAAAGAAGTCACGAGCGATAAATGTTACCCGCAGACATTTACAACAGAGACATTTCATCAGAGACATGTCGCACAAGTATTACATAATCTCAAAGTAGGGAAAAAAATTGACCGAGACACATCTTCGGACAAAGAAATCCGAGAGTTCGGAAGTCAACTCACAACAAATATAATATACGAGACAAAAGTCGCTTACATAATGCAAAATGTGTTGGTGTACCGCATTGTGAGGTACGGGTGAGGTGATCTGTGTGGGTGTA